TTACGCTTTATCCAAGGTATCCATTGCTTCAAATTCAAATTTGATTTCCTTCCATACTTCGCAAGCAGCCGCTAATTCCGGACTCCATTTGGCAGCCGCACGAATAATTTCATTACCCTCACGAGCAAGATCACGTCCCTCATTACGAGCTTGTACACATGCTTCTAGAGCAACGCGATTAGCTACAGCACCAGGTGCATTTCCCCAAGGATGTCCTAAAGTTCCTCCACCGAATTGTAGTACGGAATCATCTCCAAAGATTTCGGTCAGAGCAGGCATATGCCAAACGTGAATACCCCCGGAAGCCACAGGCAGAACACCTGGTAGAGAGACCCAATCTTGAGTGAAATAAATACCGCGGCTTCGATCTTTTTCAACAAAATCATCACGCAGTAAATCAACAAAACCTAAAGTAATCTCTCGTTCCCCCTCAAGTTTACCTACTACGGTCCCAGAGTGAATATGATCCCCACCAGACATACGTAAAGCTTTAGCTAGTACACGAAAGTGTATACCATGATTCTTTTGTCTATCAATAACTGCATGCATTGCGCGGTGGATGTGAAGAAGTAACCCATTATCTCGACAATAATGAGCCAAGCTAGTATTTGCAGTGAATCCCCCTGTTAAGTAGTCATGCATTACGATAGGAACTCCTAATTCTCTGGCAAATACAGCCCTTTTCATCATTTCTTCGCATGTACCCGCAGTTGCATTCAAATAATGACCTTTGATTTCACCTGTTTCAGCCTGTGCTTTGTAAATGGCTTCGGCACAAAATAAGAATCGATCCCTCCATCGCATAAATGGTTGGGAGTTCACGTTCTCATCATCTTTGGTAAAATCAAGCCCACCGCGCAGACATTCATAAACTGCTCTACCGTAATTCTTAGCGGATAACCCCAATTTAGGTTTAATTGTACAACCTAATAGGGGACGGCCATACTTGTTTAATTTATCTCTTTCAACTTGGATGCCGTGGGGCGGACCTTGGAAAGTTTTAGTATAAGCAGGAGGGATTCGCAAATCCTCTAACCGGAGAGCACGCAGGGCTTTGAATCCAAATACATTACCTACAATGGAAGTAAACATGTTAGTAACAGAACCTTCCTCAAAAAGGTCTAAGGGGTAAGCTACATAAGCAATATATTGATTTTCCTCTCCAGGAACAGGCTCAATGTGGTAGCATCGTCCTTTATAACGATCAAGACTGGTCAGTCCATCTGTCCAAACAGTTGTCCAGGTACCAGTAGAAGATTCCGCAGCTACCGCTGCTCCTGCTTCCTCCGGTGGAACGCCAGGTTGAGGAGTTACTCGAAATGCTGCCAAGATATCAGTATCTTTAGTTTCATAGTCAGGAGTATAATAAGTCAATTTATACTCTTTAACACCGGCCTTGAATCCAACACTTGCTTTAGTCTCTGTTTGTTGTGACATAAGTCCCTCCCTACAATTCACGAATTAAGAATTCTCACAGGACCACGGTCTACTCGACATGAATTAGGAGTTAATAACAAAACCTTTCGCGGGAATCCATCTTTCAAAAAGTTATCAATAAATAGTATCAACTAATCATAATTTAGTTATTAGACCATAGTATTTGAGTATTTGATTCACCAAATACATCATTATTGTATACTCGGTCTTCTATATGGCGCAACCCAATTCGTCTTTTTCAACTAGTTAATGCTTAACTTTTTTGCATCGAAATCTAGAAGCTATAAAGAATAATAAGAAGAAAATTTCTCTTGACAACGATATATGTTGTATATGCAAATCTTAGATGTAAAACTCTGAAGAATTGGTTTTCTAAAAAATGTATATCTGAAGAATGGGTTGATGCAAAATAAATAAGACTCTACAAAAGAAAAAAGAGATGTATAAAAAATGAATAATAGATAAGGATAACTCAATATGCTTAAATACGAAATAAAGGTTCTATAGCGGAGTCCATAGCTGAGATAGCAATAATGAATTTAAAATAGCCTTCCGATTCGCATTCAATAAAGAATACGGAGGAGAATCTTCGATATAATACGAAAGAAATGAAAAATGTCCTGAATCCTTTTGCTATATTCATTGACTTGTTATTTCTATTATTAGTTAACTAAAAACTGCAATCAAGGAAATGGAAAAGAAAAATGAAGGAAACAAATGCCTTCAATTCAAGGCGGTGAATGATAACAACGGAATCAAATGCTAACCCCCAGTTTGAATTAATTGATAAACTTGATATAGAACATTTTTTTTGGACTCAAAATATTAATCTTAGAAAAAGGAATTCGACATAGTTATGTTATTTTTACATTAATTCTATTATGCAAATCAATCCTTCTAGTTCTAGTCTTGGAGTTTCTGCGCTTGAAAAAAAGAAACTGGGACATATCACTCAAATAATTGGACCCGTTCTAGACATAACCTTTCCCCCTCGCAAGATGCCGAATATTTACAACGCTCTGGTAGTTAAGGGTCGAGATACTTTCGGTCAAGAAATTCATGTGACTTGTGAAGTCCAACAATTATTAGGAAATAATCGAGTTCGAGCTGTAGCTATGAGTGCTACAGAGGGTCTAAGGAGGGGAATGGAGGTGATTGACACGGGAGGTCCTCTAAGTGTTCCAGTCGGTGGGGCGACTCTCGGACGAATTTTCAACGTCCTTGGAGAACCTATTGATAATTTAGGCCTTGTAGATACTCGTACAACATCCCCTATTCATAGATCCCCACCCGCGTTTATACAGTTAGATACAAGATTATCTATTTTTGAAACAGGAATTAAAGTAGTAGATCTTTTAGCCCCTTATCGCAGGGGAGGTAAAATTGGACTCTTCGGGGGGGCTGGAGTAGGTAAAACAGTTCTAATTATGGAATTAATCAACAACATTGCAAAAGCCCACGGGGGGGTATCCGTATTTGGAGGAGTCGGTGAACGTACTCGTGAAGGAAATGATCTTTATAAGGAAATGAGGGACTCTGGAGTCATTAATAAAGAAAATATTGCACAATCAAAAGTAGCTCTAGTCTATGGGCAGATGAATGAACCACCAGGAGCTCGTATGAGAGTTGGTTTGACTGCGCTAACTATGGCGGAATATTTCCGAGATGTTAATAAACAAGACGTGCTTCTATTTATCGACAATATCTTCCGTTTTGTCCAAGCAGGATCCGAGGTATCCGCCTTATTGGGCAGAATGCCTTCCGCTGTGGGTTATCAACCCACCCTCAGTACTGAAATGGGTTCTTTACAAGAAAGAATTACTTCCACAAAAGAGGGGGCCATAACTTCTATTCAAGCAGTTTATGTACCTGCAGATGATTTGACGGACCCCGCTCCTGCCACGACATTTGCACATTTAGATGCTACTACAGTACTATCAAGAGGATTAGCCGCTAAAGGTATCTATCCCGCAGTTGATCCTTTAGATTCAACGTCAACTATGCTCCAACCTAAAATCGTTAGCGACGCACATTATAAAACTGCGCAAACAGTTAAGGAAACTTTACAACGTTACAAAGAACTTCAGGACATTATATCTATTCTTGGATTGGACGAATTATCCGAAGAAGATCGATTAACTGTAGCAAGAGCAAGAAAAATAGAGCGTTTCTTATCACAACCCTTTTTCGTAGCAGAAATATTTACAGGTTCCCCGGGGAAATATGTCGCTCTCGCAGAGACGATTAGAGGGTTTCAATTAATCCTTGCCGGAGAATTGGATAGTCTTCCCGAACAAGCCTTTTATTTAGTAGGTAACATTGATGAAGCTACCGCGAAGGCTACGAACTTAGAAATGGAAAACAACTTGAAGAAATGACCTTTAATCTTTGTGTACTGACACCGAATCGAATTGTTTGGGATTCAAAAGTCGAAGAAATCATTTTATCAACTAATAGTGGACAAATTGGCGTATTACCCAATCATGCGCTTATTGCTACAACGGTCGAGATAGGGATTTTGAAAATCCGCCTTAACGACCAATGGGTAACGATGGCTCTGATGGGTGGTGGTGCTAGAATAGGCAATAATAAAATCACTATTTTCGTACATGATGCTGAGAAGGGTAGTGACATTGATCCACAAGAAGCTCAGCAAACTTTTGAACTAGCAGAAGCTAACTTGAAAAAAGCAGAAGGGAAGAGACAAATAATTGAGGCAAATCTAGCTGTCAAACGGGCTAAGGCACGGGTAGAAGCTATCAATGTTATTTCGTAACTCATTTTTGTGGACCAAGAATAACCAAACGAACTTCTGTATATATAAACAAACAGAAGTTCTTTTGATGCATTATAGTTATTTCGGCCATAGGATGTATAAACTTAGTTTTTGCCAATTGACTCCAAGTCTAAGTGAAATCCGATTCGAGTACAATGAAACTTTTTCAATAAAAATGCAATCAAAAAAATCAATCGATCGAAAGGATAAAAATAAATAAAAAAATAAATAAAAGAAAGTCGGTAGAAAACCGGATGAGGAGATTATCTCCTATCTGATATCTAATACCTTATACCTACTATTGGATTTGAACCAATGACTCCCGCCGTATGAAAGCAATACTCTAACCACTGAGTTAAGTAGGTCCTTTATCATCACAAAGAGAAAGAAATGGAACTCCTCTTATCGCTCAATTATAAATGGAATCTAATTTATAAGCAATACCAAGCAAGAGAGACCAAAGAAAAAGTATGTTGAATCCAATATCATCTACTAGTTATCTTGACAATCCATTTTCGACGTGATAAAATATATATTACCAACAACAAACACAAAGGGCTATAGCTCAGTTAGGTAGAGCAACTCGTTTACACGTGCGCCAATGCTTTTTCAGATGAGTATATCATGGAATCAAAAGACTTATTGAGAAATCAATGTCTAACTCCAGTTTAGAGAACAAACAAGAGAACAATAGCCTGACAAAGGAAAGGATTCGGTCTCATTTTAGTGCCTTTTCGGCCTTTAATAGAAAACCTTTATTGATTTATTTACGATCTTGATAAGGTGAAGAACCATTCTATTCAATGCTGGAGGAGGGTAAAAGACAAGGACCTCAAAAAATTCTCTTTTCGTCCTATCATCTGAATTTTAAGGTGTATGAAGTTCAGATTTTTTTCTTTAAGCCAAACCAGGGCGTCGATGGAGATTCCATTTAACTTAAGTTGATCTAAACCAAAAGCAGACCTACGTCAGGAGAGCCCTTCTTTGAAAGACTTTGGTAGTGCTTGGGGATTAGAATCTAAAAAAAAATCCGAGCACATGGAGCTATTTTCTTCTCTTTCTAGTAAGAGAATTATGGTAGACTAACTTAGTATTTCTATTAGTTACTGAAGGAGCCCAATGCAAAAAAAATGCATGTTGGGTCTTTGAAATAGTTCGAATCATTTTGATAATCATCAGTTTGATCTGTTTTACCGAGAAGGTCTACGGTTCGAGTCCGTATAGCCCTAAAGTCAATCCTAATAAAGAATTATAGAATTTTCATCTCTTCTTATTCTTTGTTGGTTGTAACTGGCCGATTGCAGTTGTTTGGGTCATCAAAAGAAAAGCATTGTCATAAGTTTGTTCACAAGACCGGATCAGAGCCTAAAGATGAAACAAAAAAACGTTCAGTGAATTGGATCCTGTCGGTATTTTTTAACCAATCTTGGTTAAACAAAATAAAATTTCAGTACTCTTTCGGGTTCAATTCCATATGAATTTTCGTACTTTCCTATCTGCAATCACAAATTCAGTGATACTTCTTTCCTTTGGCTTTGGTTGGTATAGCTTACTTTTTTAAAATACAAAAGAAAGGAGTTTTTTCTTCTCGTATTTTATCAAAATAAGCTCCTATTTCCTAGTTTCTGAAAATTCCTAAATTTGATAATTTTTTGCCTATTCGTTTTGATTCTATTAATCATAGAAATTGAATTTATCTTAATTCAATAGATTTATCTTAATTCAATAGACTAGTACTTTACTATTAATTACTATTAATTCTATCGAGTAATGCTATCTGGATAATATTATAGAATGGAATTTCGAAAAACAAAAAAAAACGAAATTTCTATTTTTTTTTTCTTTTTTTAGAGAGAATTCGAAGTGAAGTGGGAGGTAAAAAAAAGCTCATTCGAGGATGCAAAATTGCATGAGACAAATCATCGAAAGAGAGGCATATGATATATGAGATAAAATATCTCAGGTATATATACAGTTATCTTGAATTGCAGATACAAAAACGATAGAATCCTTTCTGATTAGACCCAACTATAAGTCTCGGGTAGCGTAGCAATAAAATAAAAAAAGATAGACAAGAAATCAAAGAAAATAAGAGGAAACGCTGTTATAGAAATCGATATTGAATTCATTCCATACTTAATCTTGAATTCATTCCATACTTAATTTAGAATAAAATTTAGAATAAAAATGAACAAAATAAAAAATGGTAGAATTCTAATTAATAATTAGAAAAAAATTTGAATCTCAAAACAAGGGGGAGGGGGATATGGCGAAATTGGTAGACGCTACGGACTTAATTGGATTGAGCCTTGGTATGGAAACTTAGCAAGTGATAACTTTCAAATTCAGAGAAACCCAGGAATCAAAAATGGGTAATCCTGAGCCAAATCCGGCTTTCCGAAAACAAAGAAAGATTCATAAACAGAAAAAAAAAAGGATAGGTGCAGAGACTCAATGGAAGCTGTTCTAAAAAATGAAGTGGCTTGCGATTAGTAAAAAGGATAAACTATACATATATGTGACAAATGTTAATCTACGTATTAACATACTATATCAAAAGATTACAGTCTGGTCTGATAAATAACTGATAAATTGCACGAGAATAAAGATAGAGTCCCAGTCTACATGTCAATATCGACATAAAGGAAATTTATAGTAAGAGGAAAATCCGTCGACTTTATAAATCGTGAGGGTTCAAGTCCCTCTATCCCCAGTCTCCTCGCCTTTTTTTTTGATCTGATTCTTTCTTTTCGTTAACGCTTGAATATTCATTATCTTTTTCATTGATTCGATTGTTTCACAAACGTATCCAGGCTTCCTTTTTCTTTTTTTTTTATTGACATCGATCCAAGTCATTTTTTTTTTTTAATGAAAGTGAGAAAGACGACCCCTTGAAAATGGTCGGGATAGCTCAGCCGGTAGAGCAGAGGACTGAAAATCCTCGTGTCGCCAGTTCAAATCTGGTTCTCGGCGCATGCTTGATTTGTGTATAAATATGTATTTATTTTATTCTACAGGTTCATTTTATTTATTGGTTATTGGGGTTATTGGTTAAAATCGAGTCTAGTCTCGAGCAGTTGAAAGATAGGAATAGCCACGACTCGTTTCCTATTCATCTAGAGTAGAAATAGAATATGCTCCTATTTTTTTGGGGGGTTCTTTACTATTCTATGTTTTCATTCCCGCTTATTTTTGCTTTTTTTTATATTGCGCATCCAAGTGCACTTGGATGCGCAATATAAAGTTCCTGATACATAACCCATTTAGTTCATCCTAGTAGCTCGACCAGTCCGAACTAAAGGCCAGTCCGAAATAAAAATCTTGAAAAGTTTGATAATCCAACGAATCCAGAATTGCATTGTCTTTTTTTATGTAGTTTCTACAAAGCAAGAAGAATACGACGAATACTTCACTGACTCTCTTTTTTTCTAAGAAAAAAAAGGCCAAAAGATTCCGTGACTATTATCGGGAGTTATAGTACTGAAGATTCGTTTCTTATTCTATATTTAGTTAATGAGCATCTTGTATTTCAAAAAATTTGGGAGCAATATAATCCTTACGTAAGGGCCACCCTATCCAACTTTCTGGCATTAAGATACGCTTTTGGCGTGGATGATTCTCATAAGTTATTCCCAACATATCATAAGATTCCCTTTCTTGAAAATCCACACTTTTCCAAACCCTGAAAACAGACGGAATTCTAGGATTCGTCCTTGGGGCAAATACTTTTATACAGACTTCTTCGGGTTGATCTATCCCATAGTCTATTCGCGTAAGATGATATACACTAGTTAACATTCCGCCCGGCGCTACATCATAGGCACATAGGGAACGCAAATAATTGTAACCATATACATATAAAATCACAGCAATGGAATGCCAATCCTCGGGCTTTATCTGTAAAGTCTCTATTCCTTGGTAATCAAAACCCAAAGATCTATGAACTAGCCCATGTTTGACCAGCCAAGCAGACAAAGGACCTTTCATCTTTTTTCGCTCTCCCTCACTCATTTTTTTTTGTATAAGTCTTTACCATTTCCAATCAAATTTCTGAAGATTCATTTGTCTTTTGTTCTTCTGTGCCAAAGAATCTTTTCTCTAATTTATAAATTCGTAGGACGAGACTGAATTGTTATATTTTAACAATGTTTCAGGGAATTTTTTTGAAATAGAGGACGATTGATAGAGTAATCCTTGATCATAATTTCCAGTATGAGTAGTCCACCCACAAATCTGAAACTTGTGATTGGTAATAAAAGACCGCTTCCCCTGTTGAGACTTAATTCGATCTTCATAAATTTCTCGAGCGAGTTTTTTACGAAGTTTTGTTATAGCATCTATAACCGCCTCTGGTTTTGGTGGACAACCGGGCAAATAGACATCTACAGGAATTAACTTATCAACTCCTCGAACCGTACTATACGAATCGGTACTGAACATCCCCCCTGTAATTGTACAGGCTCCCATAGCAATAACATATTTCGGTTCAGGCATTTGTTCATATAATCTCACTAAAGAAGGAGCCATTTTCATGGTTATTGTGCCGGCGGTTAAAATAAGGTCTGCCTGTCTAGGGCTAGATCTTGGGACTAGTCCATAACGATCAAAGTCGAATCGTGAACCTATTAATGCAGCAAATTCAATGAAGCAACAACTGGTACCATAGAGAAGTGGCCATAAACTGGAGAGTCTTGACCAATTTGAAAGATCATTTGATGTAGTTGAAATAACGGAGGGTTGGGTTGTCCGATCAAGGAAGGAAAACTCGATGGAATTCATAACTAGCTCACTGTTTGTTTTTTTTTGCAAAATGAGATTATTGTCGAGAATATTCAAGGTCTAAGACCATTCTAATGCCCCCTTTCGCCACGCATAAACTAAACCAAGAATTAGGATAAAAACGAAAATGAAAGCTTCTATAAATACGGATAACCCCAATATATCGAAACTCAGTGCCCACGGATAAAGAAAAACCGCTTCAACATCAAAAACAACAAAAACAAGAGCAAAGATATAATAACGGATTCTAAATTGTAACCAAGCATCGCCCAGCGGTTCTATACCCGATTCATAACTCGAAAGTTTCTCTGGCCCTTTGTTAATCGGGGACAAAACTCCGGAAATTAGAAATGCTAAACTAGGAATAACACTTGATATTATTAAAAATGCCCAGAAACTATCATATTCGTAAATTATAAACATAGGTGTACTTCTATGAATGTAGAAAAGATGCAAGAGTCATCGGTTTGAATTCGAATTCATTGCCAACTCATTCATAATTGTTTAGTTAAAACAAACTTTTTTGGATGGTTTTGGATGGAAAGACTTAGTTTTTTTTGGTTGTTTTCTATGTCTTTTTTCAAGATTGATCAATTCTAATTTTTCCATTCCATTTTCCTCACTTTCTTTTTGCTAGCCATTCTCTATACTATTAATCTCTATTGCTGTTCGACAAATACGAACTTTTTTTTGTTGTTCTCTAAATCATATTAATTATGAATAACTAAGAAGAAAAAGTTAATAGCTACGATTCGAATAGTTCATTAAATTCCTATGCATGTACAATTTCGATTAGGTAAGCCCGCTTAGCTCAGAGGTTAGAGCATCGCATTTGTAATGCGACGGTCATCGGTTCGACTCCGATAGCTGGCTTTTGCCGCTTTGTTTGATTTTTTCCACGATTGGTCTTTTTGAAAAACGAACATTGAAAAAATTTCTTTCGGCTGTTTCAAAGATCCACAATTATTCTAGAAACTTCCAATTCGGAATAAAAGTTAGAGAAATGAAATCGCGATAGAACAAATCAAGAGCAAGAAAAAGAAATCTTTTGTATCTTTTTTATATACATTATTTATGTATAATAGAGTTCAAATATGGATCCAATCCATCCCATTATTCTTTGGAATATAATTAGACTCCGATAAATATTGACCTATTTATACTATTCAAATTTATCCTTTAGTTCAGTTTTAATTAAAGTTTATGAAAATTTCATTTTCATTCAAGTTTCAAAAATTTCAATCAAATAAAGGAGTCTTTATGTCACGTTACCGAGGTCCTCGCTACAAAAAACTACGTCGTCTGGGGTCTTTACCGGGACTAACTAGTAAAATCCCTATAAAGAAGCAAAGGGCACCGATTAGATATCGACCGAGCTTTTACAAAAAATCCCAATATCATATTCGTTTAGAAGAAAAACAAAAATTGCGTTTTCATTATGGTCTTACCGAACGACAATTACGTAACTACGTGCGTATCGCCGCAAAAGCCAAAGGGCAGACAGGTCAGGTTTTATTACAGTTACTTGAAATGCGTTTAGATAACATCCTTTTTAGGTTGGGTATGGCGTCAACTATTCCTCAAGCCCGCCAATTAGTTAACCATAGGCATATTTTCGTTAATGGGCATATAGTAAATAGACCAGGTTTTCGCTGTAAACCTGGGGATATTATTACGGTCAGGGATGACCAAAAATCTAGAAGCATGGTTCAAAATTATCTTAATGCGTTTTCCCTAAAATCGTCTTCCCAAACGGAAAAGGAAAAGGCCTTGCCAAACCATTTGACTCTTCGCCGATTCGAATATACGGGATTAGTCAATCAAATAATAGAGACTCAGTCGGTTGGTTTAAAAATAAAGGAATTACTAGTCGTAGAATATTATTCGCGTCAGACTAAAACCTAACTAAAAGAGGAAGGAAGAGGAAGGGCTCAGACAATTTGTCTTTACCTTGACCCCTTTACGCCTAACTAAGTAGGACCCAAATAGTCAGTCGTTTGACCGGGGTATTTTCTACCATTCATATATCATATGAAGGGGCGGTCTATTTTCACCCCTTGCCCCAATTTTCCAGTATTTTCTCTATTGGAGAAATTGGCAATGGCATTGGCAATGGCAATAGAAACTCTAGATTATATTAAGAAAAATCCTAACTCTTGGAATTAAGTTACCAATTCTTATAGTATAGGATTTGCTACATTGTGATCCGTAAGATTGATAAATTAGATGAAGTTACGGAAAGAGAGGGATTCGAACCCTCGGTAAACAAAAGTCTACATAGCAGTTCCAATGCTACGCCTTGAACCACTCGGCCATCTCTCCTAATTAATGATTATGGCCAAAAAAACGACTGAATCGCGAATTCTTCCTATTTCGATTGTTGCTATCCCGATGATACCTATAAATTACAATCAATTCTAACGACTAACTATATATAACTAAAATAAAGAAAACAACTTTTAAATGAATTAAAAGCAAATAAAGTCAAGACTTTTCCCTCAGGGATGCAGTGCTGCGGGCGGGATAGAGAGCATTTTTTTTTGAGTCTGTTTTAATGTTATTTCGTATTCTACAATGATTTTTTTGTGGGATTCCTTTTTCTCACAAGAATTAATTGAAATCCATTTTCAAATCGATTGAATTGATATCTATGCCTAGATCCCGAATAACTGGAAATTTTATTGATAAGACTTTTTCAATTGTAGCCGATATTTTATTACGAATAATTCCGACAACTTCAGGAGAAAAAGAGGCGTTTACCTATTACCGAGATGGTGTGATTTGATTTTGTTATTTACCGTTTTTAGTTTTATGATATAAATCCATTACTCAGGATATAAAGATTTGAAATAACTCTACGTTTGTTGAAGGTGAAGTTTTTAAATAAATAAAACAATTCCTTTTGTCGTGTATCCCCGACTAATGTGGCCTCAGATGCTTCAATTGTCGATTCTAGCATTTAGCGAAAGGTTAGACCTATGAGTTGTGAGGTTGTGTATTGTAGGTGGTTAACCCTACTCCACTAGTACCAAACCAATAGGTAGCATAGAGGAAGAAGCACTACGACTAGGAATCAACAAAAGAAAATCTCTGTTAGAAAGTTCCCCTTTTCCTTATTTATTGATTTTTACGATTTATTGCGATGGGGCCTCCGAAGAATGGTTAGGACACCAAATATCCATCTCGTTTGTACTTTGGATACCCATAGAACCATCGAAGACTGTTGAGGTGACTAATTCCGAGAAATTAAGAGACGTTGAGGACAAAGAAATTGTTAAAGAAATTGTTGGAATTAACACTAGATTTTTATCTAGTATCGCCATGTTTGCTGTTAAGAAAAAAGCTTTTGCAGGAAGGTTGGCTAGACATTTCTTGTAAAACCACTAGCCCCGCTCAATTTATAATGAGAATATTTGATTGCTTTTTTTTGGATTCAATATAATATTCTCCATTATGCACATAAGGGAGGAGCCGTATGAGATGAAAATCTCACGTACGGTTTTGAAACGGGGATTCTTTGAATAGAATTACGACCGTAACGGATGTCTGCTCAATCCGAAGGAAATTATGCGGAAGCTTTACAGAATTATTATGAAGCTATGCGACTAGAAATTGATCCCTACGATCGAAGTTATATACTCTATAATATAGGACTTATTCACACAAGTAATGGAGAACATACAAAAGCTTTGGAATATTATTTCCAAGCACTAGAAAGAAACCCTTTTTTACCACAAGCCTTTAATAATATAGCCGTAATCTGTCATTACCGAGGAGAACAAGCGATTTGCCAGGGGGATTCTGAAATTGCGGAGGCGTGGTTCGATCAAGCCGCCGAGTATTGGAAACAAGCTATAGCGCTTACTCCTGGAAATTATATTGAAGCACAAAATTGGTTGAAGATCACAAGGCGTTTCGAATAGGATAAGAGCATTTTCTTTTGAGTATTTTATTTGTTTTGAATATTTGTTCTATTTTCCCAATTAGTCCAAAAAAAAAAAAAAGATCCTTTCTCTGTGTTGCGAAGAACCTATCAAAAAATTTGATGACTTTCATTCTACCCTTTTGAAGTGAAGATCGTTCTTTTTCGTCTGGTATTTCATAGAAATACACCCTATACAAAGAGTTGAGAATATAGAAAATTCTGAGACTATAAACAATCAATCATGAGACTCTAGAAAATCAAGAGAATCTCGATTTCTATTATTTCTAGTTATTTAATCTTATAAATTCTTTTGTCTTATTCAAAGATTAAAAAGACCTTAAATGAATTATTCAATTTTATTTTAAAATTATTCTATTTTTTTTATTTGATTTCCTTTGATTTCTTATTTTATTCTATTATTATTCATTTTATTTCTATTATTATTCTTAATAATATTATTATGACTTCTTAGTCTTTATTATTAGTCTTTATTCATTTTATTATTAGTATTAATTAATTCATTATTCGGATTTTAGATTTCTTAATTATTCAAAAACGAAATAGTCATTATTAACAAAAAACAGAAGAATCAAAAAATGGAGTAAGCAGCCTATTTTTAAATGTATAAATTCGCCTTATATTCCTTAATATACTTATTATATTCCTTATATATAATGGGATATCTCGTAGTAATCGTAATGACCACTGCCCTCTCGCCTGATTTGGAATCGCGCAAGAATACTAGTAAGATGTTCCATGTAAAAAAAAAAGGGAGCCGAGCCCATTTCAGAACTTTGTATTAAAAGACGAATAGATTCGGTTGGACAAAAAAACGGTTTTTTGAGCAATTCAAAAAGCATAAAGGTCCGTTGAGCGCCTATTGGCTATGTCATAATAGATTCGAACACTTGCCGCCCTGGATCGACCTCCAGATCATAATTGTTCTAGTGAATAACTAAAGAAACTCGATAGATGGGAATAGGATAGAAGTGAAATAAACTAATTTGAAACATCTCCCATAGGTTCACTAATTACTGGATTGTTGGCGGGTCTCTTTGTATGTGTTGTCCGGAAAGAGGAGGACTCAATGATTATTCGTTCGCCGGAATCAGAAGTCAAAATTTTAGTAGATAGGGATCCCATCAAAACTTCTTTCGAGGAATGGGCCAGACCCGGTCATTTCTCAAGAACAATAGCGAAAGGACCGGATACTACCACTTGGATCTGGAACTTACATGCTGATGCTCACGATTTTGATAGCCATACCGGTGATTTGGAGGCGATTTCTCGAAAAATCTTTAGTGCTCATTTTGGTCAACTCTCCATCATCTTTCTTTGGCTGAGTGGTATGTATTTCCACGGTGCTCGTTTTTCCAATTATGAAGCATGGTTAAGTGATCCTACTCACATTGGACCTAGCGCTCAAGTGGTTTGGCCAATAGTGGGACAAGAAATATTGAATGGTGATGTGGGCGGAGGTTTTCGAGGAATACAAATAACCTCTGGTTTTTTTCAGATTTGGAGAGCATCTGGAATAACGAGTGAATTACAGCTGTATTGTACCGCAATTGGTGCATTAGTCTTTGCTGCCTTAATGCTTTTTGCGGGTTGGTTCCATTATCACAAAGCTGCTCCAAAATTGGCTTGGTTCCAAGATGTAGAATCTATGTTGAATCACCATTTATCCGGACTACTAGGACTTGGATCTCTTTCTTGGGCGGGGCATCAAATACATGTATCTTTACCAATTAATCAATTTCTAAATGCTGGAGTAGATCCTAAAGAGATCCCACTTCCTCATGAATTTATCTTGAATCGGGATCTTTTGGCTCAACTTTATCCCTGTTTTGCTGAGGGAGCAACCCCACTTTTTACCTTGAATTGGTCAAAATATTCGGAATTTCTTACTTTTCGCGGAGGATTAGATCCAGTAACTGGTGGTCTATGGCTAACCGATATTGCACACCATCATTTAGCTATTGCCATTCTTTTCCTTATAGCAGGCCACATGTATCGGACTAATTGGGGCATTGGTCATGGTCTAAAAGATATTTTAGAGGCTCATAAAGGTCCATTTACAGGG